AAAAAAAAAAAAAAAAAAAGAACAAAGCACTAAGATTCCTACCTAGAAATTCTGTGCTTCCCTCTTCAAGTGGCTCTCACTGATCTGTCCCCTCAAGAAAATTCTAGGCCATCAACAGAAGGAGATCTCCAGGCTTGGTTCCCTCCTGGGTCCTAGTGCAAAGGAGCACAGATGCTCGCACCTGTCTGAACACAGCCTCTGGGGCAGTTGAGGTATTCTAACCCATTGTACTTGGAAAACTTGAGCTTTCTATCTTAAGTTCACCCTTCCAACCAGCAGTGAGTGGCAGGAATGTGGGACTGCTAGTTGCCTTACTCAGTGACCTGTTAAGAAAACACAACATCTGAAAAACTTAATTTTTCTTTAAAGTCAATAAACTCTCTTGGACAAATAGGTATCCATGACGGGGTGAGGTACTTTGTCTTATTAACCCTTTGGTGGCCTGATGACATCAAATGCACACAGGCAGGAGCAAAACTAAACTGCTCTTACTGCACCACTGCCCTTGGTAAATTCTATTTAGTTAGCACTTACATCCCATTCTCCCCCTCTATAGGGGGAAGTTGTGGGGCTTTCCCGCCACATTATCACAGGATGCCACTGTCCATGGGCATAATAAAAAGTGTTGCACAAGTGAGACATTATTGCTGTAGAAATGAGGGTTAGTCTGCATCTGCATTTCTTCAAATCTGAAATATAGATTTTAGATTTGTAAAATATATAGCATTATTAAGGGCACCAATAAGACACAAAAGCAAAACAATGATGCCATTAACTCTGATAAAACAGTAATTTAAAAATACATCCCAATGTCAGAGATGTTCAAATGTGAATAATTATACATTCTAGAATCTATAAAACATAGAAAATAGAAAAAATATATATACAATTACCTAAGGAGGTACTATCAAAGTAGACTTAAAAGGCATATATGCATTTCTTAACAAATAATACAAGTAATTATTGCAACACAATATAATATACATTCAGTTCCAATGTGTCAATCAAGTTCACGTACTTCTTTTAGCTTTCTTTCTGAGCCTGGCTAATTAATTTGCATACAATATCATTTTGAATTTTTTCTACCTTAACACCCTTTGTCTTAACAATTTTTCCTGAGTTAGGCTTACCTTTGGGTTCAAGACCTCTTAAACTTACTTTTTAAAAAGTTTTTTTAGTAACAACAACAACAAAAAAAGTATGATGGGTATGTGTGTGTGCTTGTGCATGCATGCGTTTTAGGAATCAAGGCATAAATAAGGCTACAATTAAGCTATGGCTTCCATGTATGTCTGCTCACTGAGTGAGTTTATATGCTCAGAAGCAGTTCCTACAGAAGTTCATTCACTTAGTGTCGAATAATAGGATTTGAACTCATTCTGTGTTCTGCATTATTGTGTATCTCCTTAAGAATAACTGTATTGTGTCATTAATTAGAATAAAAATAAGGTATAGATACAAGTCTTAAGTGGTAACAATTTAACAGTATAAGAAAAATGACAGAAAAAAGAGAACTGTTAAGTGTCATGGTTAGAATTTAGAGAATACTAAAAGTCTTTGAAATTGTCAGCATGTTTTTCAAAATGGAGAATGTATTTTCACTAGCATCACTTTCCTTTCTCTAGCTCACTTCCAAGAATTGAATGTCTCTTTTGGGTATGAATCAGTGTCTTATGTTTTATTTTTCTTTTCTTAAAAAGTAATTTATTTGCATCTCTTTTGAGGTTATCATCCATCTTGAAAGTCTGGGGGTAAAAATCCTTACTAGCTTCTTTAAAAACATGTAACAATATAGTGAAATATTTTTACCCTGAGAAGTTAACACTGAGTGGGTGTTTAGGATCATGTGTTTGTAGCTATAAGGAATCCTCCCCCAGTTTCTAATTTACTACAGACTCAGAAACCCGTGTGTTGACCTACATGTCCAAGCTCAACAGACGAGTGTTTAAGAGCACAGGAAGTGACACAGAGAAACAAAGCAGGATACCTGTCTGGGTCACTGTTGACCCATCATGCTTAACTAATTTTTCAGTGATCTCTGACCCAGATTTCCAGAGTTCCACAGGGATTTCTATCTTTCATCTAACAAATCCTACACCTGCATTCAATTAATGAAACAAAACTCGACTTTGTTATCCGATAAACTGAATTCCTAGAGTCATTGAGACAATTGTTTTATTATTGTATTGACAAATTATCCTATTAACAACTGGCTACTAGAAAAATCAATTAAAATCTTGGCTGACAGGTTGGAATATGGTTAAATAAGTATGAATGTGAATTGAAGAGTGAGTTAATAGTTTTTTAAAAAAATATAATTTGTAAATTAATAGCAATTAGATCAAAATCAGAAATATATGTTGAAAATAAGAATGCTAAATTATAACATGCCATATGGAGCTGCTCTATATTGAGTTTAATTTTATTTCATGCTGATGTACTTAGGAATATCAATGTTTTATTTCATTTTCTCTAACAAATATTTCCAGATATCCTATTTGTCCTGATTCCTGACTATTATAAGGAATTGGTAAATTCCCTGTAAACTACTCTAGTTTTTTAGTTTACTGGTAAACTACCTTGTAAAATATTTAATATGTGGAGTGAAAAATAATCAGATCTTTGAACCTTTGGCCATAAAATATTATTCATTAATTTGTTTACTTTTTATAGTAATTGCTTATGTATTTAGAATATTGAGATCCATGGTCAAGGGAATTTAAAGCTGACTACCATTTTGACTTTAGGGATTTAAGAAACCCTACTTTTATTCCTAAAGTCGAAGGTTTGACTTTTCAAATTTTTGGCTCAAAAAAAGTTTAACTTTTCTTTTAGCTAGTAATAGAAAAATTCTTGGTATTTACTTCTGTCCCCTGAATAGCCCACTTAAATGATACTTTAAGTAAAAGTAAGTAAAATTAGATGTGTTCTATAAAGACAACATTATACTTAAGATGTTTAAGGGTCATATAATTGAAATCTCAAAGCATACTTTCAGAAAGAATAATCAAAAACCACCCTGAATGAGAGAATGAAATCTTCAAAGAAAAGCTATACTTCTTCCAAAGTATATTACCTTTAGTGGCATTAAAACTGTCTAAAAATCTGGTAAGTGTTGCTTTGGAGGGTGAGGGAAATTAATCTCACCTAGTCACTGATTTATTGCACTAGAAAGTGACTTGGAAATGTAGAACTTTAAAATTTGAAAGAGAATAAAGAATAATTTTATCACTGAGCATGAGCCAAATGTTTCATGGAGTTGTCAGTGTGATATCTTTTCCTATAAATAGGTTTGCTGATTGCAGAAAGCACACATTTGTCTAAATGATACCTGATCTCTGTCATTCACTTAAATGGTAGATTTTGTTTTTCTCCTGCAAGATGCCATCAGTCAGTTTAGAAGAAGGAATATTGATAATCAAGTGAAAGAACAATTCACCTCCAGAAGTACAGAGACACAGATGTGAATACAAAAAGTAAAAATAAAATGCAAAGAATAAAAGGAGGCCCAGAAACCATAAAGGCTGATGTGCAACCTAAGCTCAGGTTACTAACTGAGAACCAAAAATAATAAAAATGGATTGTTAATACATAGTGCATCCAGAGAATACTTTCTAATATTACTAATAATGCTTCTACATATATTCTGTTTTCTGGCTCTTTAAGCTACTTACTTCACTGTCATGTTTCAGAAGTCGCTGAAATAATCATCAAAACAAATATTTAGACTTTAGAGATGTGGTTTCCAAATAATTTTACAGCATTATGAACAGGATAGGATATGCATTTTATCTTCTCCTTCTTTGAACTTTGTCCCAGCCCTTGCTTTTTGGCCAGGTGGGTGTTCACTCATTGAGAATCCCAGGGGTTCTCTTTGACGTTATGCTGATCTCTATGCATGTCCTCTTCACATTGATATCTGTCGAAATGCCACCTACTTTTTAAGACTAGCACATGTCCTATCTCTACCATGAAACCATCCCTTTGCACTTCTATGAGAATTAGATGTCACTCCTCCAACTACTTTAGTATTTGAAATTTGTACAACTCTTGTGAAGTTCACATAACTGTACCATTCAAGGCAGAACAGAGAAATGTATTAGCAAACACACACAACAAACAGACATACGCACAGAATTCCAGACAAGTGCTGTAATGGTTGTCCTTTGTAGGCTCAGGATAAAGTTCAGAAATGCTGCCATTTGCATAGATTTCCTTAACTCAGTAAAGAATAAGGGGCAGGAAACCTCCCTTTAACCCCTTTCATAAGGACACTAATCCATTCATAAAGGTCAAGCGCTCAGACTTAATTGCTTCCCAAAAGACTCCACTTCTTGATACTCTTACGTTTGGATGCTAGGTTTCAGCACAGGAATTTTGGAAAGACACATTTAGAACATAGCAGAAAGCCATGGTCTCTTGTCCAGTTTAAAACCCTGAGTCTGTTTGTGACCTAGAATCTCTTTAATTAAGGGTAAACTAGGTAAACTTGAAAAGTGGCTCCACGGTAACATCACAAAGATATAAATCCAGTTTCTAGCTCAAAAGACTTGTAGCCATGTACCAAATGTACTTAGGAATGGTGATTATAGCAATATTTCTGATACATTTTAATACTACCTCTAGGTTAACAGTAATTTCTGGGGACCTGGAACACCTCTTTGCTCCACTGGTCGTAAGAGGGATCTATGGGAATTACGAGTTTCAATCAGATTCATCATAAGTTTCAGACCCTATTTCTGTATATATATTTAGAATGGACATTCTACACTTGGCAAAAAAACCATGGAATGGAGGCCAATTAATGTAGAAAGGGTCAATATGAAACCTTTTAAATCACCTCTACCAATGCAGTACTTTAAAATAAATACTATATATCTCCATGTATTTATGATTTAGAGTGACAATCACAGATTTGAATACAAGGATGAGCATTTCCCTAATGTTTGTTTTTTCTTTTATTTTAAAATAACCCACTTTATTGAGATATAACTTACATGCAATAAAATTTACCTTTTAAAAGTGTGTACAATTGGTAGTTTTTAGTATATTCATGGAGTTGTGTAATTATCACCAAAATTAATTTTAGAACATGTTCATCACCTCCCAAAGAAACTCTGTACACATTAGCAGTCAATTACCATTCCTCCTT